GATAGCATTTGCCTGCGTCCCAGCGTCCACCAGCGAACAGAACTCCATACTCTACAGCTGCCTGCGACCCTCCTATCGCCCATACTCTTCATTCTCGGACGCTGCTGCTCGCTGGTATGTGATGGCAGACGCTAGATGATAGCTGTACTTTTCCAGTCGCTGACGCTGCTGGACGCTCGGAACGTGGTGGACGCTGCCGCAAAGTGTGAACGCAGCCTTACTCTCACTTCACATCACTGAGACGCGCTGAGCGTGGCTGCGTACTTCATTTGATCATGGCGCAGAGCAGGTCATTCGAGAGGTACTTCAGTTCGGGTATGCCCAACTGTCATGTTGCCCGTGTTGGGCACGCATATCATTACGACTGTCCTCAAGAAGAAAATATCCCAGCGAAAGCGCAGCCGCAGTAACGTTCAAATAAAGCATGGAGCCACGCCTACCACACCTCAGGATTCGGCGTATATGTGTTGTGCACTCACCGCTGATCCACGTACGCCATCAGCTTCTTTGGAGCCGAGATACCACACGTAGAAGTGTGACTTAGTGATTTTTGACGGGAACAACCAGGTCATCTCATCCCATCGTCGTCTTCCACTTTGGCAAACTCCCAGAATGCAATGCTGGAAGAGAAATCCTCAGGAACGGTTCCTTACAGGCAATTACGTCATGCGAAGCGCAACGGCACATTAGCGAACATTACTAGGCGAGCCCTTCTACTCTTTCCCTTGTCGGGAATCTTCAATGATCTGCCTCAATTAGAGAGACGGAAACACCAGTTACAGCGATGAAGCAAAGTATACTTCACAGTGTATTTACTACATACGTATCACTGTTGCCGACTGGCTAGTTTTTGATGGCGGTAACGGGAGTAAGAAGTACCCTTGACCCATTGAGGATGGGGCAAAATTACAAAATTACTGGCAAAATTAGTGTTCTACTCTCAAAGAGTCAAGGTAGTGGTGCACCAGTACTTTCAATGACACTTCGGAAGTCGCCTTCTAGTAGTAGATAGGTAGTATTCATTGCCCCTCATGACACCTCTAAAAATATAAGCCCTCAACAAAATGATGGGCCTATAGGACTAACTCCTCAGATGATTAACCAACTGTCCACATTAGGCACGGAGGGACCGATAATTTGGTCTCGTCCCAGGGTTAAACGCTTCGTTTCAAGGCACTCTGAATATATTAGGTTGGCTAAATAAGTAATGGCCGTTTTTTTCAATTGAAAAATTTGTTCGAAAAGTGAAACTGCTGATAGAAACTTCTCGTAGTATAAGAATATCAAAACAGCTTCGGTTGAGGGAATAATTTTTGTGAATTTTTTAGTCGTTGAAGTTGAAAGTGAAGTCGGCGAAAATTAGCACCTTCGACAACTGCCTCTATTTACGTCTACTCGAAGTGCTAAAATCGCTTAAGCTGCTCCATACATTCGGAAAAGGTTGAGGTAGAAGTCTCAGCAAGGGAATCTCAATAGGACGCTTTGGAACTAATTTCAAGAATTTCAAAGTTGGCAACCTTCACCTTGCCAATATTGGGCAGGCTCACGTCTCACGTTTTTTTTTCCTTCATCCCTGCAAATTTCATGCTAATATTTGAATCAAATTGAATTTGAATTTGCGATATTCTAATACTACGAGAAGTTTGCTATTAAATGATATTAAGCTTGCTTGCAAAACGTTTTACTTTTGGAACAAATTTTTCGATTGAAAAAAACGGCCATTACTTATTAGCCAGCCCACTGCTAGTGGGCTGGCTAATAAGTAATGGCCGTTTTTTTCAATTGAAAAATTTGTTTCAAAAGTGAAAAGTTTTGCAAGCAAGCTTAACATCGTTTAATAGCAAACTTCTCGTAGTATTAGAATATCAAATTCAAATTCAATTAATTCAACTATTAGCATGAAATTTCTAAATAGAGGCAGTTGTCGAAGATGCTAATTTTCGCCGACTTCACTTCCAACTTCAACGACTAAAAAATTCACAAAAACTATATCCTCAAAGCTTTTTTGATATTCTTATACTACGAGAAGTTTCCTATCAGATGATATATAACTTGCTTGCAAAACGTTTCACTTTTCGAACAAATTTTTCAATTGAAAAAAACGGCCATTACTTATTAGCCAACCTAATAGATGTGGTAGACTAGGCACTGTATCCCGAAAACGCCTTGATAAAAATTAATCGAGTCCGGGAGAAATGGAGGGTCGTTTGTAGTGTCTAATGAAATCAAGGGACCAGATTATGTAACGCCGGTGTTTGAGGGCGTTTCTTCAAAATAATTGATCACTATTTTGCCTTGTGTATAAATTTTATGGCGCGTTTCACAGAAACAAAACAAGTAGAGCGTGTTGTTTTGGAGACGCACCCCCTGGACGATCACGGACTGGCTTCGATTTTCCCTGTAGCTCCGGAGCGACCATGAAGCAAGGTACTCTTCTCGTGATGATCTTCCCATTTTGGGAAGGCTAACCTTCCTAGGTTCAAAATAAATCGCTAACACAACTAAAAGGATACAACGGGTGGGGGGGGGAAAAGTAACTTTCCTTGCATTGACTTTCGAGCCGCTATATTGTACACTTTATTGAACTCATGCGTACATTTTCACCAACCAAGTGACCTACTTGGATATTCCATCTTCTTTAGGTACCCAGCCCCTTCCATTCCAAGTAGGCGAGAGTTTCTCCAACGCCCTTCGATTCCATGTGGTGGCACCCAATGGCTGTAGCAGTACAAAGTTGCTAGAAGGTAGGGCGACGAAATGCAGGGAGGATATTTTTCTCGAGTTGCTCGATGTGCCGCGCAGCGCTCAATTCTCCAGCCGCGGGGTCCTCGAAAAAAAAAAAAAAATATCGGTCTTTCCAATTCTAGTACGTCGGTCATACCATAAACCCGCGGCCTTGGCGTGAAGATATGTCACTAGCGTGGCGACGTTGTCGGAGCTGCTCGATGTTTGGAGGTTATACGCAATGATTCGGAGAAAAAAAAAGTAAAGTATTGGTCTCCAGGTAGCTATCCATGGGTGACTCCACACTAGAAGTTTCGCAGCTGTTTGGAGGTGACATGAATTCCAAAGGTCTTCTCCAGTCAGGCTGGGAGATGACTTCATATTTTGGTGTACATGAAGGTGATGGGCGAGAGCCAGCTCCTGCTTATCGAGGAACATCTTGGGTATCTTCCGCCCTGGTACTCGTATCCACGTCCTCTGTCTGGGCTGCGAAAACTTTGCTGATATGTGACTCGGTCGAAATGTCTTTTTTTGCCCCCCCCCTGTAGGTACGCCAATTTGGCAATCGGTCCAAATCAGTAACAGAGGTGCTATGTAGTGAGAAAACGGCACAAATGCGATGTGAAACAGTCAAAAGACTGCAAAAAAGCCCTGGTGCTACACGACTTAGAATGCAATTTCGGACAAGTTTCCCGTTGATATCGTTCGCACGGTAGGTACGGCTGAGGGTTTGTTAAGACTAAAGGCGTTAATTTGGATCCGCCTTATGTTATTGAGCGTTATCTCTCCAATATTATATTTATAGGTATGATCTCGAAATACCAGCGAAATATTGCTTGCACCAGTAAGGGTGGACAAAACTGCATCGCTTTCGTTGGCCCAGAAATCATGGTCCCCGTGGTGTTGGCTGAGCACACCAATGATCAGCTCCGAGCCCGTCCCTCTTAATGCTGACTCTAGATGCCATGGCAAGTAAACTCATGAAAAAAAATGGGAAACAGTCCTCAATGCTTAGGCGTTGGCAGGGAAAAACTTCAGGGGAATTTATAGAAATGGGGGGACGTGCGAGCAGAGCGTGAGGAAGCCCAGATTCCTTAGCTCTGGAGACTGCACGAATCCATCGAAGACAATCATAAAAAGGGCACAGACCGGAGCTATTTTTT